CAGTGACACAGCTGGACGTGCCAGCGCTTCTGTACAAAGCAGGGTCTTGCTGGTGCAGGGCAGAGGGGAGATGGTGCTACAGGGACAGTGTGTCTGAGTGTCCTTCATTCTCTGCCTCTTAGGGGTTGAAGGGAGGGCAGGAATGGCAGCCATCGCCGACCCAGGGAACTCCTGTGACCTAGAAGAGTTTTCCAGCAAGCTGAAAAAGGCCCTGCCACTGTATGCACGTCCCATCTTCCTGCGGTTCCTGCACGAAGTCTCCAAGACAAGTGAGCCATGGCATGCATGCTCACACTGGACATGGAGCTGGGGGAGGCTGGGAGGGGAAAACCTGGTTACAGAGATCATTCTGTAGGGTAGGGATGAAGCCTCTCTGCCCCACAGAGACTGTGGCCAGTTCCTCAGGTGGTTTTGAGGCATGGGGACACAAGGCTGGGTCTGGGACAACACAGGTGTGGTGGGGATGGACGTGTGTGTAGCTAGTGAGCCCTTACTCCTCCTTGTCTCCCCATTTCAGGCACTTACAAGTTCCAGAAGACGGAACTGCGGAAGCAGGGCTTTGACCCCGCGCTGGTGAAGGACAGGTTGTATTTTCTGGACTCCAGGCAAGGCTGTTACCTGCCACTGGACCAGGCAGCGTTCAACAGAATCAAGTCAGGAGACCAGAAGCTGTAACTGGTGGGGCTAAAACCAGGCACCTCCCAAATCCTGCTGGGGAGAGGGGGCAAGGCAGGCACTGGGGAAGGAAAGGTTCACAAAGTGATATAAAAGGCACACTAGAGATTTTATTTGACAAGTTTTACAGATAAGGGTTTGGGAGGAACACGGGGGATTGAGGGGAGGGGGATGGTCTCATACCAAAGCATTGACTCATTATGGCTTTATTTTCTGCTTGATACAGTGGTGGTGGTCCCATGCCATGAGAGGAGCAGGGCCCTGGCCAGTTGAGGAGGGGTGGGGTGCCCCTGCCTTTCCACTTTGCTTTTCTGTCTTTCCCTACCTTTTCCTGCCTTTTCCTTGTGAAGGCCATGAAGGGGCCAGTGCTAACCTCTTCCCCACTTTTCTACCAAGCAGCCAGCTTCTCCTTGGCACAGGAACCCACTTGGCAGAGGGAAGGTGGGTGCCAGGTGCAGCCCCTTCCCTCTGCTTGGCCCTGCTGGTGTTGTGTGTCTGCTGTGAATCAGGGGAGCAGGGTAGTGTTTGGCTCAGGAGGGGGACAGAGGTGTGTTTCTGCCATGCCACCTCTCTCCTGGGGATGACATTTCTATTTTTCACAGTTACACGCACATTATATTATATCTATATATATATGTGTGTGTGTGTGTATATACATATATATATAATACACGCTGAGTTATTTTTTTTCAATCTTAATTTATTGTCCATACTTTTGAATGTGTCTCGGGTTTGTGCAGTAGGTGGAGGGATAGCCCAGACCTGTCCTCTCTTGGAGAATCCTTTTCTCTCGCAGGGAGATGGGATGCTCATCTGGGACTGATTCTCCTCTTCCAGCGTGGGTGCAACTGTAAATGTCCTTGTGGCCTTGCTCCATGGTGGAGGACATGAGCAAATCCCACTATCTTGTGGACACTTCTCTGGGTCTTTTACTTCCATCTTTTGTGGATGCAGTGTTGTTTTGTGGACTTTCTTCCTTGCCGAAAGCAAGTGGGAGAGTGGGAAGAAGGGCCGAGTTTGCCTTTGCTCAGATGTACTCAGGAGGTAACTTGCCAGGGGAGAGAACATCCTCTGGAGGGTGGTTTCTGTGGGAGCCTGACTTCATGTGCTCTGCATCCCTTCCCAAAAGAGCCCTCCCTGTCTCCAGCACCAGAGCGGGACCCTGAACTGAAATGTCTGTGTGAAACACCTGACTTGTGCTATGTGAATTCCCCATGTTGTGTCTGAAATGAAACAGCCTCAGCTGCAATGTTCGATTCCAGTCCTCAGAAAACAAGCAGAAATTTCTCTTCCAGAGAAAACTCTGGGTTGGGTTGTTTTTTGGTTTGTTTTTTTTTTTTTTTTTTTTTTTTAATAGTTTGCTTTTATGCTTTTAGCAGGGTTACTCCTTAAAACGACATCTGTCTTTTGTGAGGGCAGGGTGTGTCTGCTCTTCTAGCTGTGCTTCCACACCAATGTACCTGCCTGCCTCAGTCCGTCCTGGTCTCACAATTAAACACAAATATGGGTCTATGCTGGTGTTTCCTACCTCTTCCTTGTACAGTTCTGCTTTGTGAGGGAAGGTGGGGGACTTTGCTGGTTTGGGAACTGCCACTCCAGAGCATCACCTCCCTGTGTGCATTTTGGCTCATCTTAGAGCAGGGGGAACAAGCCCCTTGCTGCTGGGTTAATGACTGTGTGAACACAGCATGTTGATCAGACCCTTCCCAGTTTCCTCCACTAACTTTCCACACCCCATTTTTCCTTGTTCTGTCCTCAGCATTGCCATCCCGATTTGTTCTGGCCCAGTTCTCCCTGTTTACCCTTGGACATGTTGTTCTTCCACCCCTTTCCTGTTCTCTATTTCCTCTTCCTGCTGCTTCTCTCTGTGTTTGTCCATGCTGAACTTCCCAACTCATTTCTGCCCTTGAAGACAAGTTTTTTGGTAGCCATTCCCCTTCCCTTGATGCCAGAACCATCTTTTATACCTTCTGCATCCAACCCTAGTGATAGGAGACCCCGGCTCCTTCTTGGTATGGAGCTGCCAGGGACAAACATCTTCCTTTAGCCTGAGTGAAATGTGTTGCCTGGTGAAGCCACTGTAAGAAAAGTGTTAGAAATTTTACATATCAACTTCAGCTTTGGATGTGTTCAAATTGTGTCTTCTCCAGCATCTCTAAGCTGATAAAGTTTTAATTTTAGTTTTTTCAGTCTCCTGGACACATGAGGGGGTCTCAGCCCTCAGACAGCGTGGCTTTGCTGGGAGGGGTGATATTTCGGGTCCGGGGAGCCGGTGCAGGGGGTGCAGGGGATGCAGCAGCGGTGCTCTGCAGGTGCTCCGCTCCCACCTGCGGGCCCTGTTCGGCTCGCAGCCGCCAGAGGAGGGCAGGCTGGGCTCGGCAAACGCCTCCCCTCGGGGGACCCGGCCGGGGCGGGCACAGCAGCCCCGAGTGCTGCTCTGAGCCCTGCAGGTGCGGGATGCTGCAGCAGGGGGTACCTGAGGTGAGAGGAAGTTTCAGATACAGATAATGGTGCTGGCTGTGAGGCCAGGGGCACTCCCAGGCACTGGTGTCCACTGTGCTCAGGCTCCTGGCTGGAGACTCTGCCTGATGACTTGGGCAGCAGCGAGGTCACCGAGCTGTGCCAGTGGGTGGTGGGCAGCGACCTGAACACCAAACCTCATCCTGCCTTCTGCTAAAGGCAATGAGGAAACACTTGGCCGCCCCTGAAGTCAGACCTGGGGGTGGTCACCTGGATGATGGTGGTTTGGAGTAGTAGAGGACGATGCAGGGGGACTTTACTCCCCTTTACTCCCTCCCTGCAGGAAATGGCTGTGCTGAAGAAAGAGGGGTTGCAGGGTAAAGCTCAGCACTGTGTTTCTGTCTGTCTGAGAGTAGGGTAGGTTTAAAAAGCCCACCAAGGAAATACGCATTCAGGGCACTGCCTGTTAAATGCAGATGTGAATAGCTTTGGAAGCTTATGGAAATATGGCTCTTAAAAATGGAGACTGGCTTGAGTTGTTGGGTTTTGGAGATGGATAGGAATTACAGGCCTGTGAGAGGAGCAGGGTGTAGCCCTTGCTGGTGCCAACACAAGTCAGGAGCTGGGCCCTGGCTGGAGCATAGCCAGGAGCTCACCCCAAGCCCTGTATTTTGGGCTGGCTGTGAGGAGAGGGAGCTGCACAATTCAGGCAAGAGGAGCAGGATGAGGCCCCCCCGAGGTGAGAGCTCCTGCTCTGGGGAGGTGGAAGGTGCTCAGTCACTGGGAAAGAGCTCAGCAGACATGACAGAGGGCTCTGGTACACAGCCCATTGACAAGGAGACCTGCAGGGCTGTGCCGGAGGGCTGGGCACACCTCTGTGCCTGGGGATTTCCCAGGGAGAGGGGAGCCCCAGGGAGGTGTGTTACAGCTCTGAGTTATGCTCAAAGGAACCCCCCTTGAGGAGCGAGCCTGGTGTGGGGGGTTGTCCCCTCTGGAGATCTGGTGCCTGGGGACCATTCACCATTGGCACTGTGTTTGTCCTGACTGAGGGGGGTTGTGTTGCACTTGGCAGTGCTTCAAGATTCCTTGAAACATCCAGCTACACCAATTAGAGGTTTTCTGCTGGCTGTCAGCCTTGAAATCCTGGTGCCTTTCAAAGTCACAACTCCTCTGGAAAATTAAGTTTATGTGCAAGTGTCCCTGCAGCTCTTGGCCCAGAAATACAAGTGCAGGTGTGGTGCTGAGGCTGGGATCCATGCTGAGACACAACACTTCCAGCAGAGAGTATTTGGAATGACGTAGCCAGTGTTTAATCATAGTCTGATATTTTAAAGTATCTTTTTATTTGTGCAGTTTCAAGGAAGAGCCTAATTGAATCCTCTATGATTTAGAGACACCTTGTGAGACATCCCTCCCCTTTGATCAATGCGCTAGTCTGGCTCAACAGCTGCATGTAGATAAAAGTCCTATACATAAAGTACGAGGTATTGTTCTGTTTTAATTAAAACACTTAAAATTCTGTTTGCATGAGGTTAAGAAAACATTAAAATCCTTTCCAGGGTTATTAT